CTTACCCACTCATACCTTGCCCACACTTATTTTTCTTTAACACATTAGTATGTTCTTACCTAATAAATACTTCAGTAACAGACAAATAGACTAAATGGTTATACATTAACTATTTCTCCATGAATATTGTGTGCTCTGCTTTTCGTCCTTCCTTTTTCTTACACCTTTTCAGCCTCCTTCAGATACTCCACCGAAAACAGATATGGTAAGGGTGACTTCGTCCTACACTGTTATTAAAGCCTTAGATATTCCGGAGGGATATAAGTTCGAAACTTTTAAAAGCCCCCAACTTCGCATGTATCTATTCTCGACCATCAGTTGTATGTTGCAACGCTACCTCCATAAAGTGCGCCAAGTGTGATATTGATATGTTTCTTACGAAATCTATTTACATTCATATCATATCATTCATATCAACCCAGCTGAGTAATTTTCAACAGTGAAAATTGTAACTTCTTTAACAATTTGATCTTGCCTGTAAACCGGCATGCCTCATGTAACAATCTGTTATTTGAGAATAAATTATTATTATTATAACGTCCAACGACTGTTTGCATTCATGCGAACACTGATTCCGGTGTCAACTCGTATACAACATCGACAGGTCACTCTCACTCGAAAGTTATCTACCTGTTCACATGTTTTCATACGAGTACGCAAACCTCTACAACAGTCTGACGAAGGTACTTTACACGTGATTTCCCGTCACGAAAAGACCTTCAAGGTTGATCGACATGGCCGCGTCAAAGTAGTCAGCATTGATCGTCTCATGCCAGCACACGTCGATGACAGTGCCCCACCCGATAAGCCGAGACCCAATGCTAGACCATCAAATCTTCTAGCGGGATCTTTACATCTACTTCGGATCCCACGCTAGATGCACCTGAGACCTCATGCTCACGTCCCAGTCAACAGCACGTGTCATCTGCTCCGTCTACGGACGAGACTTCCGTCTCACGTTCAGACCAGCAGACCACACCGCCCTTGACTGCGGATGAGAGTGCAGGCTCACGAGGTTCGAACGAGACTACCGTCTCACGTTCCAATCGCCGAGTACACCTACCCGTACGCTTTCGCGACTAACCTCATAACCAGCAGCGGATACAGTATAGGACCTTACCCCTATACTACACGAATGCTACACTTTTCTCTATTTCATTATTTTGTTTATCCCGAGCCTACGCCCCCGACCATTGCTGTTTTGGTATCGTCGACTTTAGTCAACCTTGGCGAAAACTGGCCTGATACCCACGCTCTAGTCAACGCACTCACTCTATCTCTCTGGATCCAAATACGTATGGTATACATTTGGTCCCGAACATGGTTATTCTGGTCGCATCTGGTTCCTTGGCTCAATCTGGTTTCGTCCTACGTCTGCAGCGTTTCTGGTCCAGAGCTCTACGAAAACGCAACATTCATATTCCGGATACAAACCATTCTGGTGTAGCATGCTAACCCAAGCAATCAATACAGTAAGTTTCCTCCTGGTACCGTTCTACGTCAAAGACCTTTGGTGGCAACTCGAGGATCAACGATCGCTTCCTGTTCTGCCAACGCCGTCATCCTACAATTGCCCGTTTCACGATCAGTCCCACGAACGAAACCGCTACGTATCGAATGTGTAAGCCCTTTCTAGCGGTGGGCTCTTGTAGTGACCGGTCTGTCTCGATAAGAACACGATCGTAATAATAGAAACAATTATTATTATTGTATACAATTATACCAGCGATTGTTCTACTGTACTAGTTTAACTGTATCAGACTCACTTCTTGTTCCGCTATCCGCCTTGTTTGGTTCGAATGTTCTTACGCTCTGCCCATTTTGCCTGTACTCGTTGGCACGTCTCGGTATTCTTTCGATACCACGAGATCACCAATAAATATACTTTATCTGGACTAATTAAAGCCTTCTGGTTTGCGAGTTATCAAAGGAATCAAGTCGTTTCTGGGCACGTAATCGTATTGTAGTAGTGATCATAGTCCATCCTCGACTCGACGCCTACTACAGGTCTAAAGATGCCACAAGTATTAGGAGTTTGGCAACACCTTAACCAGCAACACCGTTTTTATATCAAAATGTGCAACCCAGTGAAATCAAAAGTGAGAGGCGAAGAGTTTCGAAGATATATTTGACATGCTATCGATATATCGAAAGTGATGGATACAAGCTGGCTAGCGGTCGCAGAACATTTGCAGCACGGCGTGATCGATCATGATCTGGTGCGGATGTGCGACCGACTACATTTAGCTAGCTGAGTCCAGTAAAAAAATAATAATTATTATTAATGGCTTTATTCAATATTATAATCTGGTACAATATAGAATTCTCAGCACCAGTTATTTCAACAAGTTTTTTACCAAAAAAACAGAAAGAGAACGAAAAAGGTTTAAGAAAAACTGAGTTTATACAAATTATCAAATTTGAAATATGCTTAAGAAGACAGGTTATTTACTAGGTCAACTCTAACAGCCTGTTCGTCACAAAGTAAATTTGCTAAGTAGGGTATTACAGAACTTTTATAGACTTGCTTGCGTGTATGGATTTTAATGTATTTACTTCTCGTTCTACCAGAAGATATACAAGGAGAAAGATATGAATGAAGCGGATGGTTAGTATCTTATAAGATAACACCTGCCAAGAGTTTGCAAGACTTAAGATGTCTATCCACAAGCATATTAACAATGACTTCAAAAGATTCAACACATACCTTGCAAACCGCCTTCAGCACTCTACGCAAAACAGCAAAGTCTTTTCTCAAAGGCCCGGGAAAGAATAATGGAGAACAATATAAAATAATAGGTAATATGCAGGAATTTACAAATTATGAGAGTAAATGGCGAGTAATCCAAAAAGCATGCAGCTTCTTTATGTAGTATGTCAAACGGTAAAATTTTTTCGATAAGAGTAAAACATGAGAAGACCAAGAAAGATCAGAGGAAAAAATAACACCAAGATATTAGACCTTCGACACTGTGTTTATTAAGGAGTCTCCAATGGCACAAGCATTATGGGATCCCAAAATAGAGTGTAGGTTCTGTCCATGTCTCAAGCTAAAATTAACAGCTTGACATTTAGATGGATTGAGTAAGAGACCATTACCAACAGACCACCTTTCAATACGAGATAAAAACTCATTCATTTCTATGGGATGTAAGGAGGTAGAAATCGGCATACATACAGTTAGGTCGTCCGCATATTTTACAAAAGTATTTTCTGTGGAAGATGGCAGATCATGCAGAAAAAAAGAGAAGAGCAGAGGTGAAAGAACAGCTCCTTGTGGCACACCTACATTAGACAGTAGAGATGTTGAACACTTTCCTTCGAATACAATGTACTGTTCTCTTCCAGAAAGGTAGGAACATAGCCAATTGGTTATCCAGCTGTCAGTGTCGACGCTGATCAGCTTGTTAAGTAAGAGGTGTCTTGGAATAGAATCAAAAGCAGAAGTAAAGTCCAGGAAAGCGCATCTAACATATTTCTTACCCTTTTCCAATCCGAACACTATATTGTGATGCAGAACAGCAACGGCATCTAATATGCCTCTTTTGCATTTGTAAGCAAACTGATATGGATCACAGTGCTCCCTTATTTCAGGTTGAAGTGGTTGTATCAGTAACTTTTCCATTATTTTAAGGAAAGGTGAAGTTATTGCAATGGGTCTAAGTTTCGCATTTTTATCACCAGAAGCTTTCTTTGGTATAGGGATTATCTTTATCTTTCTCCACATTTTCGGTAAGACATTAGTTGAGAAGTATCTGTTAAAGATATTCGTTAATGGATAACATAAAACATCAGCACATTTTTTAAAAAGAAGGTTTGGGATATCATCAGGTCCTAAACATTGGGGTGAATTAAGTGACTGGAGACATTTTCGGACATCATTTTCAGTGAAACTGGAAACACAATTATTCTTCAGACCCTTGGATATAGGGAGCATGATGTCAGATGACTGACGTATAACCATTTTGCAAATATATATTCTCATTTCATTCCTGACGTCTTGTTAATGTGGCTTTGGGTTCCTCGAATGAAGGACATTTCAGATTACAGTGTTGTTCAACCACAAATATCTTTTGAAGCCACATGTTGCGTGAAGTCAGAACGAAACAATGAACTGTTATCTGATCGACCGTTGTCAATGTTTGTGAACTTTTGCTTTATAGAGACTCAGAAACGATTCCTGAATCGTAAAAACTTAGGCGCTGAATGATTAGTATATTACTTCTCATCTTGTAGATCTAAAGAAAACCTGCGTTAATATGGGAGATTCACCGGTAGAGGAAACGTATTTTGATAATTCTATGTTCTCAGTTTTTATGATCCAACGATGACCGTTCTGAAAAATATGGCGTCAACATAACATATATGCGAACCAGAATAAAGAACACAGTGCTTACGAAGTCAAATTAATCTGTGTCTCACTGGCTTTGGAGGTTTATAGCCACTACAAATCTTCCGATAGTGATTTTTGTTTGTGACCGTTCCACTTTCAGTGACAAAAAAGTTATCTGACATCACACATTCAGTTATTAGAAACTTTACAGAATTAGATTTAATAAACGGAATGTTCGCCTGGGGAAATAAAAGACAGATGAAAGAAATTGAAAAAACAGATATAATCTAACACGACAATAAAGCTTGAAATGTATGGAAACCGTTAACAGTAAAATGATCTAGCGACATGACACTTTCACCTTGATATTATAAACACAGATGAAAAGTCCAAATAGCTTCATTTTTAGTCCTGAATATTTGAAGATTCGTTATTTGCAGAGTTGATTTTATGTCAGTGCATCTGAACACCAACGACAAAAATCCTGCAGTGTCAAGTTGTCATTATATTCAGCGTAATAATAACTGAAATTTGATTGTGTCGAATAACAGAACACCGGTGTCATAATAAATATGCATATTGTATACTCCAATGCTGGTCATTCCTAGTCAAGACTTACACTGACATAGATTGTATTTAGGATGGTGTTTGTTTTAATGCATGTTACCTTGACATTCTTCATAAATAACAATGTGCCGCTACTTCGTAGTACTCCAGTGTTACATTTAGGCGATTGCAGTTTGTTAGGTCCTGAATAAGCACAGGATTTGGAAGCATCTAGTCGGGAGATTAACCTTGTCTTAATCTCAACTATCTTATTTGGTTTCACATTACGCTAGTGTAGATACACAAGGTAAATAATCTTTCTAGGATTCATTGTATTTTTCCAGCACAGACCCTCCTACTCTGGTCACAATACGTTCTACTTTAGTTCGTGACTGAATGTTTATCAACCAAACCACCTGATCTCTTTTTACGTTATTAATAATGCAGCTTATTTGAATCGCCCAAAGTTCGTTTTTCTCCCTTTTTTGGGGATGTATTAGCATGTCTCCGTGTTTTCCGTTTGTAAGACGTAAGCAAAATAGTAACAAGTATGTGATTTTTTTCAGTACACTGGGATATGTATTCGTTTTGATATCATTTTTAGTTGTCGAGTTAGGAATAAAGTTGACTGATACTTACTACACGTTGTTTACGATGAATTACAACTCTTTATCTGTATTTCTGAAAGGTCGATCCGTTGACAGAAGTGAATTAATATTTACTGCAAACTTTATGTAACTGTATACATTTTCTAAAGATCACACTCTTACAATAGTCATTGTTGCGCGGAATCAATGTAATTTTAAATTGCTTTATTTTATTCATACTATCATTTTTAAAAATAGAATGTTTTCACTGGTGTTTGAAGCTGTAATAAGTCTTCACTGAATCCTAATGTCTTCCGACTTTGTTGAATTCTATAATCATACTTCAGAATTTCCGTATGGAATTCTTTCAATTAGTAATAGGTGTCGACGTAGTTTATTTGTTGAGCTGCTTGCATTTTATGAATTTTAGGCCTTTTAAGTCTTTGACACGTAAGTCTATTTACAAAATATAGTGCTTATAAACTTAGTGTAATGAAAGGAGTCTTATTAGACATATATTTACAGTATTTTTGGTGTTACTTTTGTGTAAAGTTCGAATCACCATTCGATGAGCAGATTTAGGGAATAGAAAGCCTCTTCCATGATATCACACAGATATTTTATCACTTAAGAGGTCAAAGGCAATACGCAAACAGATATGTCATCACTCGTCAAACGTTATTCAGCAATCATCTATCCAATTTATTTCTGACTTGTAAACACCTCTGAAAAGTATTTATCCGGAACTCACAACATGTAGTCATTAGTTTTGAGGACATAAATCTGAGAATAGGTTCTTAAATTTCAAGAACTCATGGGGACCTACAAATGGGCATACTGTAGTATCTTGCGGCTAAAATTATATTAATCAAGTATTTCAGATTTTTACCGTGACACATTAAGAAGCATAGGTTTTTGATAGCCATACATAAGATTGCCACAATATGACAATAGGGCTACGTTGTCCCATAAAATGCTCATCGTTTCACATCGCTTCTCCGATCTTAAAACTACTACAAGGCATGGAAACCTGTGAACTGGTTAAAATCAGTTATTTAGTATCCTTAAAAAACGTAACATCTCTGCTCCAAAGTAAACCTTATTGATTATTGTCAGATATTGGCGTTTTATCAACTGTTCTTTACTTGATCTCACAAAAAGGATCCCCGGCACAATGATTGACGAAATTTTGAGCCTAAATTCACTAGCTTATTTAATTTTGTGGGTAAATGGTTATTCGTTTCCATGTTTCTAGTATTATGTCTGCCAGATCGGTCAAAATTATCTGAGAAAGCGTTTTTCAAGCTCTTTTTTTCCACATACCTTAAAAACCTTAAGCTAGACTACAGGTTATGTACTTTGTTAACTTATCGGCATGTTATTAAATAACGGAGAATGGTCGCATAAATACAAAGAGATATTTTTGTCGATATTTTTAGCAGAATTATATTAAAAAGTACCGATTCTGTGAGATCAATACTCGTATATGTGGCGTTAAAGCATTTTAAACCTGGATTATTAAAAAAAATAGACCAATAAGTACGTCTTATTTCTTTAGAAGATTCCCATCATTAAAACATTCGGTACACTAATATTTTAATGGGTGGTTAACAACAGTAAACTAGTTTAAAGTCTTCAAACAACTAAATGGTATACTTGATCTATAGGTGTCTTAATCAGTATTTCTTTTTCGCTGTCTATATGACCAGTGAATTCAGGAGATATTTTAATATGAACTTTTATGGAGAAGCCTCAGAGACAAACGTTTTGCGTGTCTCGGTGTACAAACGCGATTGCACACCGAATAATTATTCCCACATCACTTGGTTATATCAAAGTTTTCCTTAAAATGTCAAGTTAGGTGGAATTTGTAATGCTTTATCTTGTACATACATGTATAGCTTCTGAATGTTTCACCGAGTTATTTTCATAGGACGCTGAGTGGCATGGCTCATAATCAGTTGTGATGGTACAGTTGCATCCACTTTTTTTCTTAGATCTTCAGTTGTAGAATATTCCTGTGCTTTTTTGAACCCCTATAATTCATTTTTTTCTTCCTAAGTCTCTCTGTCCATGCCTAATTTCTGCCTCTGCTGATACTGTTACTGCATCCGCCATTGTGGAATTTTTCCTGATAGTTTCTTCTCTCTGTGGTTATTCGGTGTGCTAACTTGAACTGATGCACATTTCGTGCCAATCTGTATGTTGCGTACAACCGACTGATTGATACTTCAGGTCATATGCTAGTTTGATACTTCCTTTCATAAAAGAACCCACCACATTTACAGGGTGTCTGTGGTCTAATAAATTCTTCGGATAAAATATGCCAAGATTTAAAAGTTGAGATAACCAGCTTTTGTAAAATGGTTGAAAGTAAGTCTTTTTCAGTTTTGTTACTAAAAATTAAGGACATGATTTATTCAAAAGTTGTGCTTGAATAATAACTTTTTACGATTACTCCTCCCCCCACTGGCTCAGTGCTATAGTTTTTCAGTGTGGCTCGACCCTTCCAATCAAATGACAATTGGCCTTACCCATAAATCCTACTGTACAGCAAAAGAAAAACAACCTGTTGCCTAAAGAAATCAAAACGACTTAGCCTCCAGAATATGATAAATCCACTCTATTTCTCTTCTTTCCCCTTAGCTACACACATAGCAGTACATTTATTTACTTCAAAATATCAACATACTTAGGGGTTTAAGAAATGAATTGTTTACTTATTGCTTTTAATATGCAGTGTATCTATAAACTGTTTCTATCTTATAACAATTTCTGAAGCTTGTAGCAATTCGAAGATATGATAGTGACCTTTCAACTGAAAACGAGTCGGTGGTTAACATTAAGATCTTTTGGCATCATAAATAAATTGCAAACAATTAGACTTTTCACTATTCATTTAATTATGAGTAAAATTTGATGGGTGTACCTCAAAATAGTTGTTCCTTTCTCATTATTAACATGCTTTTAATAAATATCAGTTAAACTGAGTAGTAATCCTATATTCTCCAATATTCTAGAGCTCACACCAATCGTAAAATCTATCAAACTTCGAATATAACCTCATCACAAGATTTATCTTCCAAAATATACTCACCACTGACATAAATTATTTCTTCACTTTCTAAGGATGTTGTATTTTGAAACAACAAAATAAGTTAGTTTAAAATGATGTTCTTACAGTTCAAGAAGATGGTTTAGTGGTTTGGTGTTCCATTGGCTCGATGGTCTAATTGCGAAGCTCTCATTTTTATTAATGTTTGAAATAATTAAATTTATTGGTTTACATGCATTTGAAGAGTAAGTAATGAAACAAAACTCATTTGCTATGTTTTGCGAATGATAACATTCCTAGTTAATTTAAATTTATAGAAGCAGCCATTTGTTATTCGCTTCATTCTGTAAGAAATTCCTTTTCGAAATAGAAAAAACAAATTAAAGTATGGTTACAGGGCTTTTTAGAAGAACAGACTTCACGTACCAATGATGCTTGCTATTTACCAGTCAAGCGAACCTCTTTATTAACTCAAAGAATCGTCACTTTATATGTAGTTAAGGTTTTTTTGAATATTACGTGTGATAATAGCTATCGATTTCCATCAAAGATATACAGGAATTGAGGAGATATGCTTATCAATAAGCTTCATGAACACAGATAGTAAATTAAGCGAGGTAAACATCCAGAATACCAAAGTAGGTTGTGAAATCCATCGTTTAGTGATGAGAACAATAATTAATAACTCAGTCGTGAATATCAATAACGTTATATGTATGAAATAACTGCAGTCGTACACAATATATTACTAGTGAGTTGTAGCGTGCAGCTATTTTGTTTGTCATTTTTATGCCCAATGCTAGGAAATTCGCGCAGCCAAGTTTTCCGAGCTATTTAGACAGCTGAATAAGTTCTATTTTAAACGTTATTTCCTAAAATATAAGTATGCATTCCAATGTTTTTCTAAAATAAGTTCAGATTAGCCCACTTCACGATCTGCTCTCTTCTGGTACAGTGTCTTTTTATAATTATTTATATTGTTATCACCGAAAAATAATGATATTGATTGTGTCGATTGCGATCGACCGATTAAGTTAATGTAGTCTTACATATGACTACCCAGCAAAGATGAATCGTTTTATATAGCAAAAAAGAATTATCTATATACAAAAAACAATTGAAGCTCATGTAAAATTTCATATATTGTTTTATAGAGGTTTTGTAGTAGACTGTTCACAAAGCTATTTAATCAGGGCTTTTATATCTATAAGTCATCGTGAATATTTAAGTCCGCCGTCTTTATAAACTACTTATTTTGTAACCATCATCGATACACACTAATTGTCTATTATAGTAGTAGTTTGCTGGTCAAAACACAACAGCGGATAAATTAGATTGCACGACATGCCTCATATTTTCCATGGTATTCCCATATTAACCGCCTACTCATGATATTCTTAAACGAAGTTCCATGATTTTTGTACCAAATCATGTTTCATCCTACAACCATATTTTTTTTCTGAGAGAAACAATATTACAGCGTTTCAGTCGCTGATGCAGTTTACACTTTATAATGGAAATGTTTTGAACACTAAAATACTCTGCATAGCTGACGAACTTAGCAATTAAATGCAAGTATTTCTCTTTTTGACATAATTCTCGAGAAGTATACTTTATTCACCTTGCCTCAATATTTGTTTTTGCCTAGTAGCGATAGCAAGTGGGTTTGTATAAATACTAGACACACTCCTGTTCGAAGCTACATGTTGGAAGTGAACTTTGCTTATATTCAATTTTTATTAAATAACAACTTCAATGCGTATTCCAAGGATAAACACTGAAGGTATTATTAATAAGTAGGCAGAGAAGAACCTGTTAGTAACCATAAAACCTGAAACACTTTTTAAATTAATATGATTGTTGTATGACGTCAAGACAATGAATTTCCTATAATTATAAGGCTTCTTATATTTCTACATATAATTCTAACCAAATAAAGTATCCAATTTCGGTTTTATGTTTATTTTTAACACATGTAGCCTTCAAAAATTTTGCACCTAACATTAAATGATAGTGCTGTATCAACTCCTATCACAACTCTGCAATCTATTTTTTTTCACCATAAATCTGACCATTAAATTTGCCGTTATTAATTGTACTAACAACATTGCTTATTTTTGTGGGCGTAGTTTATTTATATAAATTGTACTCCTTCCAGATTCATGAATGCTTTTCAGTATGTATCTCTACATATTTTATTTGTAGTTCACCAGTGAGTACATTGTCTAATGATTCACACCTAGTAGTATCAGATTAGGTAATGGCTAGATACGAGTAATATCCCATTTACCAAGATATTTCATACTATAAGCAGTTAGAGTTTTGATAACAGTTCGATTTTTTTTTAATTCTGAATATAGAGAAATATTTCTTGTTATCCTGGGATTAGATAATTCTGGAAAAACAACAATATCTCTCAGCATAAAGGGTGGTATGTTGTGATCACGTATCCAAAAATTTTATTTACATTTATATCTAAGTCTCCAGTGACTTAGTTACTCCAACTATTGGCTTTGATCGTATTGAATTTGCTATCGATAGCTTTTATATCAACCTTTATGATTTGGGTGGTGGTCGTACAATACGTGATATTTGGGAAACATATTTTGCTGAAGTCTATGGTGTTATATTCGTGATTGATTCAAGTACACCAGAGAGATTAGAAGAATGTCACGAAGTATTAGTTAATGTTCTTTCTCATCCTTGTATATCCGGTAAGCCGATTCTTTTGTAAGTTGTGAGATGGTTACACAAGGTAACGGATCGTGCTTATCACTTTAGACTAGCAAACAAGAGAGATATTAAAGGTGCGTTAGATGAGTCGGAGCTGATAGCAGCACTCCAGCTGGATGATCTCGTCAATGAATATAAATGCCCTTGTCGCCTGGTAAGTTTTTATTTGATCATTTTATGTAAATGTAAATCTCGTTTCTAATTTGCTTCTGAAATAATGGAAAAAACCAGTATTATGTTGGGACTCGTGTGGTCGCCACGTCATTAAAGAAGAGAAGTTGTATGACCTAGTCCAACTATTGATTATTCCGCCTAGATGTTGCTTACGTAGTACCAACGACCTTCTGCTAACCAATAAAACGATGATAGTGCAATAGCTGAGGTCGATACTTAACGTCTATTTGTTCAGAATGCAGTCTTCCCATACTCTCTTGTCCAATAGCTGAGATGGAACACAACACAGCATGTAGATAACTTCTAAGCCCATAGTTCAAATTCATAGCTCACTCATACAACAGCACAAAGAAAAATCGTGACCACATTCAACGTAATTAAAAAATCGTAATATAGGTCTAACTACACAACAAGTGGACGAGACCTGGGTAATAGATCGGTGATGAATTGGCATTAAATTAAGAAAAATAGCACATCCAATAGTAATTCATGGGCTAACGAAAGCCTACAAGTAGAAAAACATAAGGATGCAACAATTCAAGTGTTTGGTAACTGTACAAAAATATATATAAACAATAACTGCAGATAGGACAATTCCAATGGTTCACCTTTGCTTTATGCTTATCCTGCTACAACTACTTAATAACTTTAGTCAGAAAGAATGTTATGTCTGTTACTCTAACAATCGAAATCTATGTATATACATACATATGGATCTGATGAACTGAAGTGCCTCCTACTGGCTCATATTGAATGTGACATGGCAAACTCCCTTTTTCCATGACGCTCGTTCCATTAGTCCTTATAAATCTGCTGATAACGTTAAGCGTTCGCTCGCTAAATCTTTCTATAAGTATAAAACTTAAGTTGTTAATGACCGACAACAGGGGACCATAATTTAGATTCAACATACAGACAGGCATATCTCTGTATAGACACCAGATTGTACAACTTTTCATACACATACCACTTTTTGATATTCACTCTCTCATGATAAATCGGATTGCTTAATTTGAATGTAATACTTTTTAGGAGCATTGTTGTGCTTTGTTACTGCCTAATCAAAAGTTGGATAAAGCGATTCGTGACGGCTTGAAATGGCTTCTTGCTTATATTCAGTCAGATTTGATAAACATTCAATCACGGGTTGATGCTGATGTTGATAGACAAACAAGACAACAAGCAGAAGAACGCGCGGCTAGAAAAGAAAGAGTTCGATTGGCTAGAGAGGAGAGAGAACGTTTGGGAAGACTATGCAATCAACACAGCAACAATACGTTCACAGGAGATATCCTAGACGATTTAGGTGAAAATCCAAATGAAATAATCAACCAACAATTAACAGTAAAAACGGATAATACATGTACGATTTCCAATATTTTTGAAAATAACGTAAGTTTCCCTTAAAACTCGATACTCCTCAGTTAATTGTTTGTTTACAATGTACATGTTCATTTCCGAAATTAAATTTTAAGGTAACGTTCATACGTTATAATACTATTTTACATCAACATGCAATTGTGTCATCGTAAATATTTGCTATTTAGAATCCTTTCCCTCAAGCTATCCATGATGTTATTAACTAATGCAAAATGATTTCTTACAATATTAAGAAAATACACAATACGATAGAAGTTCATAAGATTCAATCTACACGGAAAATGCTGATGTTTTGTTGAAAGCATGCTATATTTCTGGATATTTATATCAATCTTTGGTAGTAATCTTTGTTCCCTTCATCTTCTACTGAATCTTTTAATATATTTAGTTTTATATTGCTAAGGTTGATCCGTTAAGTGTAACAATATAAATCAGTAACATAAGTTATGAGAATACTCAAACCATTGCTCTAGCCTTTTGGCATAGCTAATTGTACTTAAGCTTCTGGAAAAACGTGCATATATTCTTTTCTGGAAATAAATCTATGTAATACTAAAGTTAGAAAAGTAGATAGTGTTCAGATAATTTGCAGGGTTTTCAACTTGATCCATCATTCTTGAATTATATTTGCTTAAGATATACCAATAGAATTCTGTTTAAGTGTCATAGTTCAAGGTCTGTATATTAGTACCCACAAACTTCCCTGTATGATATGATAATATGTTAACGTTTTACACTATTAAAGAACATGAATCGAAGTTGGTCACTAACTTGTTTTTGTGAACAGTTTGCAATCTATTTACAATCCGAGTAAACATTTTCCATATTCCACAATTTCTAAATCACCTTATTGTTATCACCAGAATTCCTCTAATAAACTAGTCTGACAAGAATAAAAATTAGGGTTTTCTACTGAAAGATGCCATTAGTTCGAACAAACTGTTTGAGCTCTCTACAAATAAGCCATTAAGGGTTCTACATCATTCTAGTATGATTAGTGAAAATCATAAACAGATCTGAGTAAAGACTACCGTTTTAAGTTCTGTTAGTTAGTAACGCTTTCTAATCACAACCCAGCTTGAAAACTAGTAGAAAGTTAAGCAAATAAGAGATACAACTGAGTTGTGGAAAATATTAACACATATCTTTCGATCAGTAAAAAATTTGCAAGTGATTACCCAATTTTCGACTACATTTTTACAAGATTTATTGTGAATAATTAAGCATATCTCGATTGAATTAAAATTTACTTGAATCATCCAAGCTGAATTTAAAACGATATTAATGAAAATCATATGTAGAATGCATAGATAAATCTCTAGTTTCTGACCGCCTTTATGACTTACATTTTCGAGTTATTTATTCGTTCAGTATTAAAAGAAATAAACCATTCTACCACTCGACTCTTTCATTCACTTCAATGGTAGAACTTAAAAATATTTTCAAAGTGATCAACTACCAAATGGATGCAAGAATAAACAAGTCAGTTTTTAACAGCAAGTAAATGGATTACCTGAAATTCACAAAACTGACATATCTTTACATCCAATTTTATCAGGGTGTTGGTCACCTATACATAATCTCACGAAATGCTTAACGGAGCTACTCAATCCTATTCAATGGCATTTATGTAAGTACTCTCTGAGGGACTTGTTTCAGTTGATCAATTAATTATGTAACAGTAATATCAAGGAAAAGACAAAGCATCCTTCCCATTTGAATGGGTTTTTAAAAGAGTACCATTGAGAAAGAGCATTAATATTCTATGTGACCTGTATTTCATTGAATACTCCTTCGATCCTTATTATCTAACGATTCCCAAAGATTTATCAGTTAAAGTTGAATACTGTCGACAGATTGGTAATGTTACTATAACTCGACCTTTCGGACCACAACTTCTCAGAAGAATTACTCGAAAAACTAAGCCCTAATAAGAGAGGTATATCGATAACATCATAGTAGTTTGTGAAAAAAATCGATGATAATTGCTTATTAGGGAAACTCAACAATAAAAGTTAAATTAATCTTTCATACAGAGAGGAGAGCGACGGTCAGTTTTCTTTCTTAAATATACTTGTTAGTTCACGAAATGGTCCAAATGATCTATCTATTGAAAGCTTTTATGGACGGAACAATATATTAGTCACCATGGCCCTTGTTTAGTACAATATAAACGAGGTTTGACACAAGGCCTATTCAATAGGACTAGCCTTATCTTCGCCATTGAATACGTGGTGAAGCTACTATACAAAACATGGATCCAGCCTAACTGTAGCTACTACCTTGACGTGATAGTAGGGCTTGCCCATAGTGATGATTCGATTAAGCTTTATTGTTCGTTGTCTTCGTTCACGCTCGTGCAGCTGCAGCTCGGATGAAGTTAAAAATGAATTTTATGGGAAGCCGTCCTACTTCCTTCAAAAAGCTAGATGCTTCGATGTATTAATAGTGGTGGGTAATTTTAATCCTTAAAAGGTGGACTAGACCAAACCGAAAGGCATTTAGGGGCTCAATATCCATCCGTCAACCAAAGGATGAGTTTACTGCGCAGCAGTTCACTCTTTTCTACTTTGTAAGTGCGAAACATGGTCATTAAGAATAGAGAATATCCGTAGATTACTACTATTCGATCACAAAAGTCTTTGAAGCATTGCTCGTATATTACGGGAGCACGGAGTAGAAAGTGCCTGGGTCAGGAATGGAGTGCTAAGTTAATAAGGTAGTAAATCTCTATCTACTGGGTGGTTGGAACATATGTTACGTATGTCCAACCACTGCCTTCCTCGATCTATCGTGCTCTATGTGTTGTCTGGAAGAAATTTAGGAGCGTCCAAACCAAGATTTGGCATCAGTCCATGAAAACATTGAAAACTGGACCAAACCATACTAATAGGTACTGACTACTTAGTTGGGGCCCGTTGTGAAGTTACTTGGAGAAGTTACAAAACCTGTAGATGATATTTTATGTGAACCAAAACCTTCCCTGCAAGCAAGGCAGGAACAAGAGACTAAACAAAATTAGTCAAAATTAACAGTGTCGCTACGTCGTTTAATCTTATCATATATTAGTTCGAACAATTAACTGTAATAAACGTCAATTTGAATGTCGAGTGAAAATAATCCTGTGTTACCTTCACAAATTAATACATTCCCAACACAAATTCTAGTCAACCTATAAATAATTCATTTCTTTTAAAACTGATTGCTGACGAGTCTGTGTAGTCTATTAATTGAATACCAAGTTTCAGAGAAAGCTGTTAGGATTACAGTGGTAATTTCTACAGAATATTTCTGTGCAAATCCATTGACTTTCTAGAAATTGCTTTTTTAATGAATAAAAATAGACTTTATGTTATTATTTTACTCCTTATTATGAATTTACAGGAAAATTTACCACTTCGTTGTGGCTACGGATTTGGTCTTAAAGCTACCTCTTCTGGTTCCTTTATCTGTTGATCTTGAATTTAACATTTATATATCTTGTTGAAGCATAATTCTTCTGGAAGTTACTAGTTTGCTTTCTCATTACAAAGCATTGTTTGACTAATGGCCGCATTACAGAAGTTTTTTGTATGCAAGATATCTTTTCTGTTGAACTAATTAAAATAGAGAGCATTATTTAAATCCTTTTACAGGGCACAACTGTATATCTTTTGTATACACTTATCAAAAACTTTGTTAGGCGAAACGATCTTATTGTTTTGGGCTATCATTCAGCATAGTAAAATTCATTAGTGATACCAGGCAATCCACTGTTTTTGATAATTTGAACAAAGCACGGGAGACTTGGCTGTTTTACCGGATGACATAAAAATTTTCTTTCACAATATACTTATCTTTCAGTTGTTTATCAGGAATCTTAGAGAATCATATTTGAAAGTGAACGAAAGGTAGTGGTAGATTCGAAGACGATAAATTCACACTTTATTATGTGGATAGATATGGGTCCTAGGAAGCTATGGCTGTTGTCTTTTATATTTTTTGATATATATCAATCAGGGCCAGATACTATCTCGTAAACATTCACATTTCTTTATGGGTATTGGTTTAATTCTATTATTGAGATCGAGACCATTAATCATTCTAAGAAACTATGATAAAGCTTCCAGTGTTCAGTCAAACAAGTGAATAAGCAAATAGAGTATTACAAAAGCTACAAATATGTAGTTGTCAAACCTGCACCCTTTGTGTAACCATATGCTTTGCCAGGTTGATTTGAAAATTGTAATTACTGAAAGTCTTGACATATTGTCACCTCAAAGATGAAAAATATTCTGTGAAAGTAATTAACCGGTTAATTGGTTAGTACTTACCCAATTTTCAATAAGCATCAGCTGAATTAAATTTTGATTTCCGTGTTTTTTCTAGAGAAAAAACTAACTGAACCTGACCTTTATAAAAGCATGCTTTCCGTTCATGGTTAACATTGTGATGCAATATCTGTCAGCTTCCGAGTGGAAACTAGATTCACATTTTTTCTATTTCAGCCAGTTTAGGCGGTTTAAAACTAACTTTGCTAATCAACTGTTGTCTCAATGAAACTGAGAAATCCATTTCGAAGTCAATCATATGATATTATCAGTACGGGTGATTTGTGGTAATTTCTAACGACACATCTAACAAACGATATTTCTTTAAACGTTTTTGTTTTTTTACCCTTCACAATAGTAACTCCTATTAGAACTGAAGTAAAGAGATTTGTAATCTGGGATTTCTTAGTAAAGCAAGAGGTCTGTCCCAGAGGTTATGATTTATCGACTTAAATCTGATTATCTGTTTTTTGAAGAGCTATCAATCCACTTTATGAATCCATTCCAGGTTAATTATTTGGAGATGACATGCACTAGGAAAGAAAAATAATTTCATTGTAACAATAACATTCTATGGAAACCTTTGTAAAACCGTATTCTTTCATTTTACTTGCAGTTGTGTAGTGACAGTCCTAAATATGAAGAATCTACTAATTTACCAGAACTTAACCAATGTAATTATATTAAATCTATGCAGATCAATCCATTAGCATCTGATGAGAAAAATCATTCTTTGGCCTGTTCACAGCTGAATTCACGTGATCTATTACATCAAATAAAGTTAGCTTGTAGTATTGATCTGGAATTCCAATATGAAAAATTGAGTTTGGATAGCTACCATGGTTTTGAGAAAGAGGGCTTATTCATTGATTTAGAAAAAGAGCTGCATATTAGTGTTGATGATTCGAAAGAAAATAATAATACTCGTACTATAGTTGAAAAAAATGATGAAGTATCAAGAGAGTTTTCATTGTCTCCTTCGGTGTCCAATGGTCAAAAGAAAGACGTGAAATTACAACCTGAAGTCACGGAAATGGATATGTCGAAAACCAAACTCCAGTGTGATAAAGATTATTCGATTCCTCAAACAGCGAATGGTAGTGCTCGTTGTGTTAATAGGACACCAACTGTTATCCATTCGTTATATGAGAAAAATAGTTCTTCAGTTAAAAAATCTGTTCACCAAGTAAGTACATTTATTTTATTATTGAATACTTGGAGATTATTATTGCTAGTCAGAATCCGAAAGGTGATATTTCTGGGTACTCATCAGCAAAGAAACAGTCACGAATGTGCACTATTATCATGATCTGTGGTCAATGACGTTGAGTGATGTGGCTTAGAATCGGCCATAGTGTGGCAGATATACTTACTCTTTCTCTTACTTTAGATCAAGAGTTCTAATATTCCTTCCTACCTTTTCTTTCCACATTTTCAAACAATGTTTAGTCTTATTCACTTGGTGTTGTTTACTTGTATCTTCGCATTGCTATTCAGGACTGTAATTGATCAGTCTCTTGTTGGCATATGTGCATATTGTGCGGACTGCCTCGATATTGCCTGAAGTCACAGGCTTTATAGGCAAAGATGGATAGTGGCTAGCAGTGGAATCCAGGACACGCATTTCGTCCCATTTAGGACTCGTCATCTGGATGTACCTGCATCTCAGAGTTGATGTTCACCCTTGGACTCGAACGTAGTACCGTTCTCTTCAAACGCCATCGCGTTATCCACTTACCTACTGAGTCCTAATAGCCACCTGCTTGTGCAATGGAGTGAAGTTATATTCACTTGGGACTCAGTAGGTAAGTCAATAACGCGATGGCATTTGAAGCGAACAGTACTGGGTTCGAGTCCTAGAGTGAACATCAACTCTGAGATGCAGGTATATCCAGCTGACGAGTCCCGAACAGGACGAAAACTGCGTCCTGGATTCCACTGCTAAAAACTATTCATTATTGTTGATAATATTTAGTCTTTTCCACTGTCATTACTGTTACGGTTATTTCGACTCCTCTGCTATTCATCTTCCTAATCTCATCTCGTCGTTGTGATGTGGTGTGGGATTTTCGTTTACCCCACATTATGCCAGGCTCTATGTTGATCTTCACTGACTGACTGAATTGGTATTATCTATCGACCTATTTATCCTTACTTTTTTTCCAACCTACTCTTACACCAACCAGCATCGTATGTCTTTGTAGGCGGTAACTAAACTTAAGCAGCTTATGTCCTAACTACCTCAGTTGATTGTTTTTTTATATTCTCATCAATAAATCTTCAATTGAACACCTGGATCACAACACACAATAAGTCCGAAAATACAATATATCTCAAAGCACATAATTTAATATACAAAAATAAGATACAATCTCGCTTAAATCTCACTAAATGTGGAAGAGAGGATGTAATAATAGTTCATAAATTAAACGGAAGCTTGTGATTAAGGAAATATGGAATTCACTAATTACATATCAAGAATTAAGCGTATTAATGTCCTAAAAAGTAAATTTCATAGTTTGTTATTCCTTATTTATTGTTTTCACAAAACTCCCCCTTTTTAAAAAAAAGGTTACTGGGATGTCCACATTTTAGGGGTTATCCATTCAAAAGAACCACCATCAAAAAGGTGCATATTAAATAAAGTAATCAGTAAAAAGGGCAATAACATTTTTAACGGTGTTAAATAAGTTTGCTTTACCCTCAGTCGCTTTGGGTATAATGAAGAGTCTACTTTCAACTATTACTGATGAATGCCACAATTTCTCAAATTCGGTAAATTGCTATTGTTATTACCATAGTCATGTTACCTCCAACGTCTATTTCGAACAGCTAGTATATAATCTATTAAAAGGGATGTTTGTGAGTGAAGGAGTTTATGTACAATTGTTTCATTTTGAACTCGAATCAAATATTTTGCTTCAGAACAAACAGATGCAAGAAGACAAGTCGAGCGAAGAAATATTTCTTTTCAATTAGTTCTTCATCAAGGCTCTACATTGATATATATATTTTATAAGTGAGTAGAAAGTCTATCTAAACTAGATGGTTGTGAGTCAGTCTAACGGGATGATAATTAGTTAGTTATATAACAACCTAATTATTGTAATTTCCTCAACTATAGTAATATTTCCAACTACTGATATTCAGCACTAAACTAAGCTTGTTTTTCCGATTCAGTTCTATGTATAGCGAAGTTTTGTTTTGAATGGTGTTTTACGAGAACCATAGATGAATGAAGCATATACAGCTGCGAATAAGATTTTTACGGAGTTGAGAATGATTCACATTTCTGGTGACCTTTTGTCAGTGATCTCATGAAAATTACCATGCGATCATTCATTATTTAAACATTTTCCCATGTATTTTTGACAACTCAAATTTTCTAGTCGTTTAATGTTCGAACAAATTTGTTTGAGAAAGTTGATCAGAGAGACAAAAATTCCAGTCTATCCGAAACTGGGACATTATCAAAATTAACTAAAGGACCTTCATCACTGGCACGCATTTTTGTGTCGAATTTCAATAAACTACATCCAATCACAGATCAGAAACCAGAAGGCTCAATGTCATCTATATCTCAATTTTTTACATCGGAAGCCAGAAATAATTCAAACAAATTCTATAAAACCTCTGTTTCTAATTCTAATCTAAAATCGTCAAACTGAGTGTACGAAGGTATATGTAACTGTTTTTATTAATTAGGACACAAACATCGCTTATGTCACTTATCCTTATTCAACTATTTATAAAATAATTTTCCTTCTCGACGTGATTTATTATCAGTAGAGAAGTGTGTTCAGTGTTTGAAATCCACATTTTAATAAAATGGAATGCAAAAGCATTTGATTAGAAAATTTTATTACGTAAACACGACGATGAGGAGAAACTTAAGTGTATGTTTGTGTTCAAGACCAGCTAATTATTCACAGTGATTATCTCACAATAAGGATTAAAAAACTCATTAATTTATGGGACTTATTTGTGTGAGTTAATAGATTAGTAAACAGATCCAGTAGATTCTCGGATAACCTCTGGAAGATCATCTACCATATGAGACACTCAGTATCTTCAAGATGTCATGTACATTTTGGTACAGGAAACTAGACTCTTTAAACGGAAACCGGATTTAGCAGTTTTTCAGAGCAAATAATTGATTGTGAAGCAAGCTAACTGATTATGAAAGATGGACGTATTTACTTTAGGCAATCAAGCAGTAATTGACTCGATGGACGCATGGGATAGATCGATATTATTAAGCTGTGAGCATATGTGAGGGTATACTGAAAATCAATCCTTAGTACCTCATAAAGTAATTCAAATCAAACTGTTGCATCTGTGCTCAATGGGTTTCATACTGATGGCCTGTTCAGTGCTGGATGATATTGAGTACGATGAGAGACATGAATGTTGATGTCGAATACTGTATAAAATCATGATCTATTCGAAAGTGTGAGACGCCTGTCATGTGCTCTTTGGATTCAGTGGCATATGTGTTGATCTCAGTTGTTAATGTAAACTGGTAATTAACAATTCGATTATATATATCAGAACAAAAACTGAACTTCAAATATAATATAGATACTACCAAGCGTACAGAAAACACTAATCGTTGCATATTATATGAATGAAGCACAACGAATAATTAGGAAATTCAAAGCGAAATGTTCAATGAATATATGATAAATTGTGATAAAGCACTTACAGAAGTAACGATGACTAATAAATATGTTGACGATAAAGCAAAAACGTAATTTCGTCTGATAACCAAGTTGATAAATGAAGTTCTTTCAAGAACGATACTAGCTTGATCGGTTCTCGGTTACGATTTTATTAGTTGTGAATTGCTGACTTCTAATTTCTTTATTCATCTGATTACAAAATGATAAAAGGAAAATAGAGATAAATGAATTCACAAATACATTAAATTTCATCGCAAAATTAAATTCACCAATAGCAATACTTTGTAGGGGAAACAAATATGATATGACTGAATATGTGAATAATCATTGCATCAGTAAGTAGTACGATTTCCAATATAATCCATATTTCATCGTCATTTGAAAACGTTAACAGCCCAAAATTTATTGAGTTCTGTTTTATCTGTTGTAGAATATCAACATCAAAGCTTATTGTACGTCCCATCGGATTGGTAACACTGACAGTATGAACAAAACGTGATATATAGAGTTCACCTAGTATGAGAGACCATGAAAATGTTAGTGTGTATTTGTCGATTAGCATAACGATATCTGAATGATTTTCACTCAAGTTAGAGCCAAGCCTATGTGTTCAGTTGCATATGTTATATGGTCAACTATAAGTTTATAAACGTCCATCTTTTGTTTTGCTAATCATAACTCCATTCACTATGAAGTTGCCTCAGTTCAGATTGAACGGTTTCTATTCCCTCTCATTTTTCCATTATTTACTAAGCCTTACAAACGCTCATATAGCATTGCGGAAAATATTTTCTCTTTTATCATCATTCCAGACAGTTGCTATATTGATAATTTACATAATAGTGTAAGTAAATATTCGAAGTTATCGACACTAGCCACTGAGACCAAACTAAGATCTTCAACATTGGTATAATATCTAGAAACGTTGAAGTTTCTGGTTTTACTATTGAAACTCGAGGATGAATGATCTGGAAATAAAACAAATAACCGTTTGACTCAGGCTAATTTTCAACTCCCTATAACTGGAAAATATTTATCACCTTGAATAAGTTTGAATTATTTTATATCATAAACATTCATTTTTCTATCAAGTTTAACACAGAAGTCACTATATTCTGTCACACAGAATAAATTTTGATTAATGACAATAAATTTTCATGACTCACAGTTCTGCAGAAACCTATACATCATCAATATGTGTTAATCCACAGAGGTGAACTTTTACAGAAGTCACATCTACTTACAACATTAATTTAGGTACTGTTTGTACTTCTCGGGCACGTTACGTTAACTCAAAAAAATAAATAAATTTCACAGAGAAAAAGTAAATAATTTTAAGGGTGTTCAACAAAAGATACATATTAGGAATTGTTACTTTAAGAAGGCTTTCGTTGATTGCAGTGAGTTCAAATTGTAAATCCTGAACAAGCTTCGCCACTGATTTAGGAGTTTTTATTATTTCAATGCTTTGTGTGTAAGGGTTATAATGAACATCGAATGGTCGCTTAATAGTGCGTACGAATTCTCTGGAAAAGTTAATGAATAAGAATTATGTTTATTCCTAAAGAGAGTTAAAATGCTTCATCTAATATATTTATCTTTATCTAAATACAACTTCGTTACAGATTCTGATCTTATAATGTGAACATTCTTTGAAGGTGTGTAAGTTTCAGCTCATGAGGCTATCAGAAGACTCCATCAGGCAGAAACTATTCATAGATTATTAAATCGTGAAATGTATACAGATTGTTTCGAAAGATTAACTAAGGTGTCTATGGTTCTTCTCTCTCACCGACTGCGAATCGCCGCCTGCAAGTCAGACATTTAGAGTCAAGCTTTAGTCTTACCTTTAGGGAGTTCTGTTTTTAAAATATCAAAACATGAACTTGTGTGAGAACTTAACTGTGAAATGTCATCTACTCGATTTATGACGACCAATTTCCAAACCATTGATCAAGTAAATAGACAGCGAAATTCACCGGTAATTACAGTAATTTTGTTCAATGATTCACGATGCTTTAGTAACATAAAGCTAAATATCTTGGTTATATATAATCCACTATTGTCTGAATCATACCGTAGAATACAAGTGGTTTAAACTCGATGAACGAGAAGAAAAGTAGGTAGGTACATTCAGTTTGATGATATCTCCATACCCATCGGAATTACAACTGAAAATTATGTTAAGGCTTACATTATGTACTACAAACTACCTTTGTCAAACAAATGTAATTGGAATGTTAAACTATAAATAGTTCGCGAATTTCACTCGGTAGCTATTAAACTATGTGAGTTAGTTTTGATTCATGCAGTGGACACTGAACAAAACGTGATATTTGGGTTTTAGTGAATAGTTAATGCCAAAGAAAATGTGTTATTTCTGCAGACTATTGAGTTGTAAGCTTAACTGTTCATCAAGAAGGCACTGAAAACGGTTTGCATATGCTTGGTACAATTTTTAAAATTTCCGTCTAATGAGTAAACACGAATTCAATCCTCATTTAATTAAAAAATGTTAAATTTAATCAATAAAAACTTGCCTCATTTGACGTGTTGCATCTTCAAACGAAGAAGTTTCAAAATATCCGTTTTGAAATGTTGTAACAAGGCATTCTTCGTTAATAACCTTCATGGGTATGAATGGTTTAATCACAGCTTTGTCACTTAAAGCATGCTGTTGTAAAGGAATGGAAAAAGTGTAGGTAATACTACGTTCTTTGTGGGGTTTCATGAAATGTTAAGATTTCAGATATGTAAGAATCATCTAAAACAAATAATTGCATGATCATGAGAGTATCTGGTTGTAAACCCTAATCCGATTTCTCAAAAAACTATCTAAAACTAAGGGATAGACAAAAACTAAAAATTCTATTTTCCTAGAGAGTTGTTGGAAATTTACTTGTCTATTACTCATGGTGTTCTAATTTTCGTTTTAGTTAGATATTTGACATGATTATTTTATATCGACAAGATTTAATAAGACAGTTTACTTATGCGACTAAATCAGAGTTCATTCGTATTTTGTACTGTCTCGTTTTACATTGTCGTCCTCAGACTAATGTTTTCAATAAACAATTTCTGTATCACCATAACATAGAATTTTGGTAGTTCCGGACATTACTGATTGAATAATTCTTCGAAAACATAGAACACATCTGACATCAATGTGTACTTAAATAAAATAACAGTGGTAGGCTATAAATTTAAAAACTGGTTTTGTGTACCTGTAGTTCAGCAACAGATGAGAGCAAACCGGCACCATAAGCTTTCAGTTGGTTATCTTGTCGACAGAGACCAAATTCAATGGTGAAAAAGTAGCACTATTTCATTGTAGATGAGAGGAATAGTTAACTTATCATTAGAGATGGAAATTCATGAATCATATAATGAAATTACAATGACTAGTGAATGAAGAAATCCATCAAATTTTGTTAGACACATTATAACAATTAAATCTCAATCCGAACAAAACATGATATGCCACTGGACAGTAAATGTAAATAAGCAAAGAAATTCATGTTGATAGTTGTGTACAAAGTACAGGTTCAACAAACTAAAACATAAATTCATAGATGAACGAAAGGTAAGCTCCACCTTTGAGGGACATCAGTGTCTATCCATAAGTTTAATTGCTCTTACAGATCATGTTAAATCCTCCTGTAGCTCTTCTAGGGTTACTGCCAGTTACAAGCCTGAGCAAAGGAGGAGGGTTCAGCATAGACCAACAACACCAACCTGCAGAAAATAATCTTGCTAAATAATGCTAACCAGAATAAACCATAAATTATTTAAACTTTGCCCTGTACGCCGGGAATTCGAAGTAGACATCAAGAAAATGAATAGCAACTGGAAAGGATTGCCCAGGACAGGGTTGAATGAAGAGTGATGGTAGGCGGCCTATGTTTTTTCACGTGGGCGATAGGCGTAAGGAAGTAAGTGAGTATAGATCACGTTATTATCGAGCACATTAAAGGAGCTCTTTCGAAACGCATTTCCGAATATTACACTATCTGCTTCTCAAAAAGATTAAGCAAATTATTTAATAGTTCATTTCCGGTAGATCTCGTAAATTCTGATCATGGTGCTCCTCTATAATCCACTTGAAAAGTCATCTATACCTTCAATTGAATTGGATTAAATGAGAAAAAAATTAGAAACATATGTACGGTAGAGGCTTCATCCATGAAAGATACAAATTCAGTTTTTCCTTTTACCGTGTTCTCAACCATTTTTTCGATCTTCTGTATTCCATAGTCTATTGCGATTGCTTCCTTCTTATTTTTTCAATTATTAGTTAGCTATTGTCATGTTCTCACTAGTGACTGGCTTCAAGAAAAATTTCCTGGAATTGTAGTGAGAAACCGTAACCAGTGGAGTCCAATTCGTGTCAGGTAGGGACAGGTATCTACCTCAGAAGATGGATGAGTGGTTGCGCAGGATCATAGATCGATTGAAGTTAAACATTCACACCGATGGATGCCGGCTCAGTAGTCTAGAGGTTAAACGTTTGTGCGTGCATGCGGGATCGTGTATGTGAACTACTGAGGAGTCCCATACTAGGAAGAAATGGCCGTCCTGCGCTTTCAGGTTTTCAATGGTGGTCTAGCTTATATCGTCTCATGAATCAAACTATTAAAATTACTGCAATCCCCACAAACCTCTATTCCACTATGAAAACTCTTAATTATTCTGTTATTCAGATTTATGAAGTGAATAATTATCTCTCGTCTGCAAACCATTTTCACCCTAACATTTTCCAATTAGTCCCTTTGATAAATTTAGATGGGAATTAGATAAGAAGACGAAGATTATCAGAACTATGTGATATATTAGCGCAATACATTTTGAACAATCTGATCACACATATACTTGTTAAGAACATTTATATATAAAAGATAAAAGGTCAACTAGACTGGAAATGGGGGGTTAAGAGTAGACAAGGATAGTAATAATAATAATGTGAAAACAATTTGAAACCTAATCACTGTGGATAATAAGCTAATATTACCAGGGTAGGTTTAAGGAGAGAACAAACAATTTTTGAATTTTCGTATGGCTAAGGCTTCAGTAAACCTTAGTATACGCCTTTTACACTTTTATACGACACCACAAAAGCCGAGTTGATTCTGCAACCATTTTGGTACATGTTCACACACCCTAATTTTCAGATCACAATTGCTCCTCCTTATTATCCTTGTCTACTCTTAACCCCCCATTTCCAGTCTAGTTGACCTTTTATCTTTTATATATAAATGTTCTTAACAAGTATATGTGTGATCAGATTGTTCAAAATGTATTGCGCTAATATATCACATAGTTCTGATAATCTTCGTCTTCTTATTACACTATCGAAATTTTCCAATTAGTCACTACATCATTGAGCAACCTCCTTTGGATATGTGGTATTTCCAGGTAATTTACAAATCAATCTAAGAGAGCTCTCTATATATCAATATATTTATAAATGGATGGCTTTATTAAGTGGTATCATCGAAAAGAAACAACTCTCTCCAGAATTATTTCATTTCTTCAATGAAACTCAATCTTCGACTTATAATAAGTCTGTTATATTAGTGTATATTAACTACCACACTAGTCTGGTACATATAAGGTCTATTTCAAAAGGTAAATCACCTATTTACATGAAATTGACTTAAATAGCTTTGGTAAGCATTATTCCTATTCAAAATACATTGCATAATCGATTGTTCAGAACGTTGGTCCACCTGAAAGCAACTGATATACGTTGTCGGTATAAGTAGAAAATTCAAAATTTAGTCTCTGAACCTTTATTAACTCTTTGTTCTGGATTCATTTCTTAGATAATTCTATAGTTCTTATCCACTCAGTTATAGATTTAGTGGTCAAAAAACTGTATACTTTCACTAATTGATTTATGGAAATTTGTCTTAATATTTCGTAAAGTTAGATTGCCATACAGCACTCGAGCTTCTTAGAAAAAAACATACAGTGGCTAATTTCTTTATTTCTTCGTCACTTGTACCCAAAGAAGCCAAACCAATCTCTTGTGAAAATCGTGCAAACTTTGGATCAGCTAACATAGGTACATGACCCAACAGTTCATGACAGCAGTCACTGAATTTAAAAAACAAACACCGAAATCAATGAATTATTATTTGAAAAATGTTTAATTAATTAATAACATTAGTTAAGTATGATCAGCAATTAATGCACTCCACTTTAATACAAGGTGGTAGTTATATAAATGATTTACAAACCTCTACATTATTCGATTACTTGAAAGAAAACTATCGACTGCTGTCTAGCGCTCACTGCCATATCTTTACAAAGCTATACCTGCCGTGCATTTTTCAACCTTCCTGTCAAAGTCCTCCAAAAATCCAGACATTTATATTAATTTGGAATCGTATCCAACAAATAAACACCTCCAACAAAAATAGCATCATTTAAGGTAGGTTTTTTGAGCTTTATAAAAAGCTAAGGAGAGTTTTACTGCAATGAAAGTGGTCATATTAAGAAATTTTGAGTCATATTCTGCTACACCCGAGACAAGTTAAAGATTATTGAAATGATAACATTTTCTTTTCATCATTTACAGTATCGTTTCTAGATCTTGCTCGATGCACGACAGAAATACAGTGAAGATATTTGCATCATCATTTTTCGAACCAAAAATGAAAACCAGATATCTAAAATGATCAGCCGTCATTTTGTTAATTTTAAGTCTATCATAATCCTTACTGACTTTGCCGGAATGTATCAAATAGTCATCAGAAAGAGTTTTAGTCATTCAAAAACGCTGGTATTAAATATCATATAAAAGTTCACCGAAAATTTGAGACAAAGTGGTTGTGGTAACATTAAATGTTAAGTCACAATAATTATTTGAAGAGGTGAAATTTACATATCTGTGGTGGTAGTGTTGTGAACAGAACACTAGTTGGGGACAATCGAATGTATTTAAGCAAAGATTACAGACTATCTCAATAAATTCTGATTACCAAACAATGAACAGTCAATTTGCAAATTAACAACCAATTGTTTCAATCTTCACTGTTTCTTCTCTAATTCCATTGCTCATGCGTTTTCCAGACGATTGCGCTTAATTCCAGTTCTTTCGTCATCGGTCTTCTGCCAAAATACATTCTATGTCTGACCCACACCATATACTACTTATATGGATATAAGTAGACCACACCACAGTAGGTGTATCATCAGCAGTGAAATATTCAACTCGTAAAATGTCTGCATATCAATTTAACTGTAGATCAAATGTAAGGCAGGAGAAATGATCATAGTTAGTCTCTCTCATAACAAGCAGTACTTTTAAATTCATTAGGGCACACTGTTGATTTCGAGTCAAAGACAACTTCTGGGTCAATACTCAGACAAATTTCAGTTAGGCAGCCTGATATTGAGGGTCCTAAAATTACATAATCTGTGAGGACCCAAAGTAAATGAAATTTTAGAGTAGCATCGTTTCTAGTTGCTACGACTGAGTTGATTAATGAGTTAAAGAGACCTACAGTAACAACGCATGAATCGGCAACTATATGAATAATTTTCTCAGTAACTCAAATGTCGCTGAGACTCGGGATAACCGGAACACATCACCGAACTTGAGACTACGAAGAATTATTAAGCAAAAATAAGACGATGAAAAAATGATTAAATGATTTATACTGACTGATCCAGAAGCGATAAAAATTATTAAATAAGATCATTCCAACTAGACAGTATCCGAAATTTGGAAAACTCTTGCTTCATAGCCTAATGGCTTAAAATGTTAAGCTCTAATGTCTCCACCTCCTATTATCAATATATTATAATCACCAAAGTAACTCATTCTTATATCTGTCTCGTTTCAAATAATTCACTTGATGATAAGAGTTTTATCTGTTCCTATAAATTGTGAATAGTTCCATGTGTTCACTCGGATGGGACCTGAGGGAGGTACACGAATATCTCTTTATGACTTAATTATATATGGAAATAGAACCACAAACAAAACAAATAACTTACGGCTCTGGTGTATAAAATGGATCAGCCTGATGACGTATGTATTGAGTGCAATAGAATACGCGAAATGCCAAACCTGACAAGAAATCACGTGCAGACAGATAACCTGCAACTGGTCGAAGACAAAATCCTGTGCGTGCTTTATAATTGCAAAATTCAAAATGAATAAGTTTCCTTATTATTGTGAAAATTTGTACAGTAACTTCAAGAAAATCTAAGATGAAATAGTGTCATGAATAAATTCATTAATTCAAACTACATTTGAAAGATAATACGTCTATTTGTAGCTTACAAATAAAGATTTACCGCATTGTAAATTTTCTTTGAAGCTTTAGAAATCGAGCGTTATCCATAAGTAAGGTGTAACGAGCTACAGAACCCCAAAGATAGATAAATATTCAGAAACTGTAACTTGTCTCCTTTTATAGCACAACTAAAGTGGTGCCTCCTCGATGAAGAGAGCTCAGGTAGTCAAAATAATTTCCGTTTTACTACTCTCTAAAAATGTGAGCATAATTACTAAGATTATCGTTATCACCTGGACTATTGATCTGGATGTAATAACAGCAAAAAATAAAGCTGTTAACTTTCGAGCTGTAATCATCACACCGGAAATAATCATGACTCACTAATAGTGTCACGGAAATCCAAACAAAAATATATTATTCTCACGTTATTTCTTACTTAAATCATTTCAATTTGCGTTCTTTTAGATAAAGTAGTTGGAATCGACTTACCTTTCAAAAAGTCTGATACCACTTGTAACTGAGGCAGGTCGAATTCGCTAGTTTTGTATATATTTTGAAGAAAAAAAAATTATAAAAATGATATTTGGCTATAACCCATTCAATACTCACAGTTTAATGTACCATACACTAAAAAAATTTTTTTCCTAAAATTTGATGAGAAATACAACTAGGAACAACTGTAGACATTTTGGTAGCCTAAAGAAGTACATAGTTCTATGTAATAGTAAACAGCCTATACTATAATTCACTAATTTTTAACTTTATGATCGTCCAAATATTGATCATATAAACTACTGAGAACTATGGTAAGCAGAGACGGATAGTGGCTAGCTTGTGAATTAAGGCTATATTGAGGCAATACGCACAGTATGCGCATATGCCAATTAGAGACTGACCAGTTGCAGTCCTAACACATCGATGGGAAGATTCAAACAAACAATACTAAGTGAATTTATACTGAGAACTAAGTTTAAACTGGATTCCACAATGAAGTTCAAACAAATACTGAAAATCTTAGTGAGACATCCTTTTCATTCCATGAAGTTTAAGTTCGTGTAAAATATAACTTCAAGCCTTTTTTTATTTTGTTTCAAAACATCCGACCCCGAAGAATTTATCAGATGTTACCACCAATACCATAAATAAAAGTACTATATATGTTTATTGTGGCAATATTCGCACACTGTGCAACTACGAGCAATTTATATTTCGTGTTAAATATTTCATCTTTTTTAAGAAACCACTGGATTAAATATACAAATAACAGCTGGGCTAATGACTAATCACTAAAGGTGTACTAATCTCTTGCATAAAATCGACTGCATTGAAAATAAATCTCTCCTTTTATTCACTGCTACATCATAGGAATTTACAAAATGTACCGTTTATTTTAAATAAAATCACTTACTTGTATCCGGCTTTATCTTGAAGTAATCCTAAATTTTTTTGAAACTCATGACAAGCTGAAGTTTTATACAAGCGAGTTAGTTCACGGTATATACGTCCCCTTTAAAAGCAATCGAAAAGCCAATCTTATACTATTATTATTACTTAAAACGTGGGTTATCATAAATTTTCAATTTCATTTATAGTTCACTACACCGTCTCAGCAGAATAGTTTCAGTTGGTCTTAACATTTTCCCGGCTAATTGTTCTTACTGCAATTAAACTCGACATGCACTCTGTTAATAGTCCTATATCTGGCTGAGGAAGCAGTTTTCATGGTTTTAAATCCGTCAGTGTAATGGGCTGAACATATCTAGAGTTCACGGATTGGCTTTATAGGTGTAATGAAGGAAGTAAAATAGTAATCATCTGACAGGGGTTAGATTTATTAATCTGCATACCTATGGCATCTACTGTATGTTAAAGCCGTATTCTAGAACCATGTGGTAAGTTTAATAGGATTCCATTATTAATTCTAAAAGGTGAATTTTAGTCAACGTGGTGACCCGTAACAGCTTAATGGCTTAATATGGAGTTTCTAATTGTTTTCCCTTACCCTTTGGTCAAACATCAGGGGTAATGTTTAGAAATACGATGATGAATTTGTGTTGTATACATAATATTACGGAGGTCTCAAGAGGAGGAGGATGTCCAGATATATGATAACTGAATCTCCAAATTGTGCGCCCGATGTAAATGGTTCCACAAGAACAGCCGAATCGGTCGATGCACATAGATGAGACGAACTCAGGGACTATGTTCTTATTGTAACGGCCATATGGCTTAGCTCCTGCTAGTGCTTTTTGAATAGCTTTTCTTATTCATTGTGTTATTAATTCTTTAATGATGTCATTAAAGAATATTAATCTCAAGAATGAAAGTTTATTAGAAACTTTAGTTATCTTTGAATTTGTTTGAACCTGGGTAACGTGTTTGTTGATAAGTTGTAGTGGATATAGATTCATGTTGATTAAGTTATGGGTTTTAGTTACTCTTCTTCACTGGTATCGATGGGGCAAATACCTTTTTGCACTGTGTTAAACTCGTTACCAGTTTTCTTCTGTATCTGAGAGATATAGCGCTGTAAAAATGAGTGTATTAATCAGCTGGTGTTGATTTTCTACAGATATTTTTAATGGTCTTGTTAACATGACGTCTAAACATATTACCGTTACGTTCTTTCTCTAGTGTGAGGGTGACTGATGGAAGAATCCTATTAGATCTTTTAAGTAGATATTACATTGTAAGTACTATAAAGGGGCTATCTATGTAATAAAAATAAAATACTAGCTGATTAATTTCGTACTTGAATGGAACATTTTCTAGTGTTCTGTGAAAAAAATTATCGAGGAGCGGACACGGTGGTGATCTCATACCAATCCCATCTTACTGTCTATAGAAATCGTCACTAAATTAAAAGTGTACATTTATTGTGCACCTGATGCTTAATTCGTCCGTTGTTAAAAAAAGGAATATTTCCACTTTTTTCGTTAGATAAGGGGTAACAACTATTGACTAATCCAAACAGTCATAAATGAAGGGAGTGTGAAACTTATACTTCTAGCCGCAATCACTCCCAAACAAATTCAAATAAATGTTATGAAAAACTGGTCTTAGATACATTACGCTCTATGATCCCTACTTAAAATCTAATATAATACCATCAAAATATGATAACGTTTTGAATGTTTGCCATAGATTTTATGTCTTATAAGGTTTTCTTGAATTGCTGATAAACACTGAAGTTTATCTGATGTTAGTCAAATTGAGGTCAAGGGAGAAAATAAAATGATAACAAAAAGCAGATTACTTATAAATTTCTTACCAGGTTGTTTTCTCGATTTCTGTGTATTCAACAATAGGTATTTGTTGACCCCTAAAAATAGGTAAAAAGGAATTCAAAGTCTCACGTCATACAGAGTCATATTGAACATTTAAATATTTATATTTCGATCAGCATATTTCCAGTTTCATAAGCATTAATTGTACAGCTCTTTGTAATGGGAGCACTTTCCACTTTCCCAGTTATCTTTAACCCACTGATTTGATGTTTATTTGCAGTCAGTAGAAAGGGATAATCTGACAGATGGTCCATATGGTACCGTGTGCATAAAACTGAGATGAGTTGGACTAAATAATTGATTGGCTTTGTTTCGGATTGTCGGTCATTTGAAATAGTACAGACCGAACACAGGTAAATGTTCTCTTGAAAAGTTCTTATCGTTAGCTAGTCACTGTAGAGAAGCATAATGGAGGTGCACTGTTGAGTAGTTTCAAGGGAGGGGAAAATACTCGTTAACCATTTTTGGATTCATGATGATTCTTCAAGTATTACTCGCTTTTGATAAAAACAGTCTAAACGATTATAACTTGGATTTCAGAAAACAGATGTCAGACTGTTTTTAAAAGCACTTAGATAATGTAGCTAAGAAATGAACAAAAATGATTTACATATTTGACCAAGGAAATTCAAAATAGCATTTATTAATTCATCTAGTATTCAGGCCTAACACAACCGGGATACTGCTCACCATTTATAATTTAAAGCTATGTCAGCAAACATCATTCGACGTTTTCTGTATTCCTTATCTTTGAAACCCTGAAATGTTAATATTTTCAAAACAAAAACAATGGTGAATAGGAAGTCAAAAATTAATTAATTGTTAAACACTACGAAGGATTCTTAGTATTGTTATCCATACGTACAACTAAGAGTGGTCAATAGTGCCAATTTATATGCATTAACATTTAAAGTACTTTGACTTCGGTGAAGAGACACTTTAACCGAAACCCAAGGTAATAAAAAACATCCAGCTTTTTGATATTATAATGATGTTTAACAACCAGGATTTGAATAATATTTCAATAACATTTAAGAAATTATTACTCAGAACTTTTAACATCATCATTACTGCATCAATAAGATAGGGTGGTTATAAAACAGGGTAAATTGACTCATTTACTTACAGTTGCTAACTCACGAACGTGATGTTAGCCTAAATTCTTAAAGAATTCATTTCAGTCCTTATAGCATATGATATTTGATGGGTGCTTGAAAAGAAGAAACTATTGTTGATTATTTCAAAATGTAGATGTATCTCATCAAAAGTCTTAGAATCTCTAAGAATAACTTGAAGATTACCTGTTCCTTACGTATAACTAATAGTTGTGTGGTCAGTTTGCGCTTTTACCAAGTTACAATATGTTTTCTATAGAATTCTTCATATTTCCTCCATATTTCATATAATTAAGGGATCTTGAAGATCTAATATAATGAGAAACGAAACAATTACACATGAACACAAAATACATACATTTTGTTTGTTTTTTATTGAGATATTGTTATCACTCACCGGATGATCTGCATCCAATTCCTTTCCATACATCAGAACACTATTTGAGACTTTATCTAAGTCAGAAATGTGTCTTGGAAACCAAGGTACTTTATCGTCTAAAGTTGGATTCTTTGCCTCAGCTGAATAAGAGATTATTATGGTAAATATCAGCATTAATAGAATTAGTAGATTGACTTGTTTATAAATGATGAAACCATAGAAGAATGTATTATATAAGTTGCTATTCCGTATAAATTATTGTAAAAAAACTTTCACGTTATTAAATCAAGTCTAAACAATTCAAAGCAATTAGTGCCTTTGATAAATTTCGATAATGTAATAAGAAGATGAAGATTATCAGAACTATGTTATATATTAGCGCAATACATTTTGAACAATCTGATCACACATATACTTGTTAAGATCATCTATATATAAAAATAAAAGGTCAACTAGACTGGAAATTGGTGGTAAGAGCACGCAAGGTTATTAATAATAATAATAATGTGAAAACAATTTGAAACCTCATCACTCTGGATAATAAGCATTTATTACCAGTGTAGGTTTAAGGAGAGAACAAACTGTTTTTGAATACACAAAGGGGGTTTGAATTTTCGTATGGCTAAGGCTTCAATAAACCTTAGTGTACGCCCTTTTATACACCACAAAAGCCGAGTTTAGATCAATCTTATGACCTGTTTCGATTATATGTTTAGTAATAGAGGATGATGGATGTTTATCCTCTACTCTTATTGGGTCATTCGACTGTATATATATATATATATATATATATATATATATATATATATATATATATATATATATATATAACCTAAAGCTCAGCCACGACTTCATTTCCATGACCAAATGCTAGGAATCACTCTCGAAATAGATAGTAAATCTTAACAAATATTTCAATTTATCTTAAACGTTCTAATAAATCTGATGTCATAGTCAGCCCTTCCCAATTTTCTATTCTAATGACCTTTTTTACTAAGTATCACGACAAAGGTCAAGAAAAGCCTATCGTATTTTCACTACCTACTTGCTTTAATTTAGATGCTTGATCTTTTATGTATGAAAATATGTCAGTTTGATTGAAAGTATGTCTGCATCCTAATCCTTTTCTCTCATTAGCTCTAAACATAGAACAGCACTAACTTTACTCATATGATGAACTACACTCATTTTTTTCGGAGTACTTACTTTTCGAGTGCTTGTGGATTGAAATGATTATTAACAATATACGCCTTCCCAACACGACTGGTATATTGGCTTCTAGATATTCTCAAGTGAATTCGTAGTGATGTTAAAAGAAACGCATAGTTAAGGGACCATAATATTTTGGAGTTAAAATTGAGGAAGTAACCTCATCAATGTGCAACCAACGCTATGTTTACCATGTGTTTTCGTACCTATATAGTATCGATTGTTATGTTAAGTCCATATGCCTTATTCTAACTTCTGGACAAGTAATTTACCTATCCATCATGAGTCATGTTTTCACCTTGTTAATTATTCACTTATTAACCCTGACCATTTTTATATGAGCGTAGGTGTGTGTACACTTCTTATCCTATTTATCACATGTCTGTCATTTATTCTTGTCCGACTATAAATATTGATTAACGCTTGATAAAAGTGAGTTGACTTATCCACCATCTCCAATTCATGTTATTTTTGTTTCGCTCGCCGATATTTACTTATGTGCTTATAACTTTCTGGCCTGCGTCTTTTGTCAATAAAACTGTAGCTGCCGATTCTCTTTGCCTTCTGATTTGATTTACCGTTAAGATTGGTATTATAACGGTTATCAGGGTGAACGATCAGCGTAGCACGGCACTACACCTACTGATGTTGCACTCTTGAATGTTTTTATCAGCCAAATACAATCTTATAACCTTCTTCTTATTCAATATTACCTGACGCTTGGTGGATCAGTAGTATAAGCACATTTAAATGACGTAAAGATATTTCGGATTAATGTATCTTGGGTGTTTGTCCATGACTCACAAAGCATCATGAATTTCAGGGGCAACTAATAAGTATTCAGCAAATGAATTTCTCTTTGTTATTATAAGAGGACGGAGATTTTTCTAATTTAGAAGTGGATTTTACAATCTGATTCCTGACAAACCAGCTCAAGTAAGGGGACGGAACATTTCAGTATATGTAATATGTGGAACAAAACTGGTATGTCAAACTCGTATAGTTAAAATAGGAGCTTTTATAAAAACCAATTCTCCCTGAATTCAATATCATGTTAAACATAGATGTTCAGTGAGATCCTACTCAGACTATTAATGTCTTTATTAATATCATATAGTTTGAATCATTTGATAAAACAGCTAGGAAACTGAACTATATAGTCTTAGGTTTCTCACTTTCATAAATGTCTAGGTTACTTTAGAACTACAATTACTTCTTATATTTTGTCTGTTGACGTTATGTAGACTAAAATAAACAGTGTGAAGTTTACTGAGTAACTCCAGGCATTACACTCCATAATTGATTGAAAGCAACTACATGTTTACATCTTCTCACCAGAATTTACTGGGGGGGGTATGTGATTAAGAGGGTTCCAGTAATAGCCATAAATTTTTCGAACTTTTTTTAAAATGTAACCATTCATCCATTCGTATACACCAATTATAATTCAGACACAATGACTTACGTAAGTTCATTAGAGGATTTTGAACAATACGATAAGATGAAAAAGACTTCAGTTCTTCCAACAGCCTCTCAACTTCTATACATGGAACTTCAACATGAACTAATAACTCCAGTGGTTCAAATTCAGATTTTTTCGTATGTTTTTTCATGTTCAGCCTTCCTAATCTGCTTTCAATGTGAAGAATATTGATATTTCTATTCTGAAAATCAAATAAACATAGAGAGAATTTCTAAGTCAGATGATACCTCTTTGAGTTGCATAAATAAGTGATCGTCAATAGATTCTTCAATAAACTGTTGTTCATTATTTAATTGTTACAATGTTCAACAATACTTAACGAAATGATTTAAACTTTCTAAATGAAAGAACGTTTAGGTTTCAATTGTTCCTCAAGTCCACCGCAGCTAAGGTATTGGCGCTGTTTACTCTTCAGACGACAATAACAATATTCACAGCACATGCGTAATTATTTCCGAACTATGTAAAATAATGGGATTGTTATAAATTGAATGAAAATATCAACAAAACGTAGTACATCATATAAATAAGGCCTATTCACACATAATTTCAATCGAGACCTTAGGTTCTTTGACAAGTCATTAATTCCATAAAATAACAGCTATGATGGTTATTAGCTTAATTTCACTGTGTACACTATAGAAATCGTCATACTTAAATAGAATTTTCAGATGGTTTGAGTGAATATTTATATACACATCGCCCTGGGATAATAAACTTTAACTGAGTTTAAGCTTAGTTGCTAAATTTAGAGTAGTCTCTGCTCCATAAGTTTGTTCATTAGTAATAGCATTATCTGTCACGAGAACCGCGTTTCATTGCTTCGATGAATAACAAAGACGTGTTTATATTTATGTAATCATTAAAAACTCCATTGGACTATCTAAATACTCTATTGTCAAAATGAAATGAAATACTTAAACACCTGGATAGCCTGAAATTTTTTGTATAAGATAATGAACGCATTAATCTGAAACAATTGGTCCATCTATTGTATATTATCTAATCCAACATAAGATATTTAGTTTTAAAGCAAATACAGCGCCATAAGCCGTAAAATGATTTAAAGGTTACTAAAGCCGTTTTATGGTTTTAGGTGGTGTGACATATTATATTACTTCTCCTTATCAGTTTATATTTATTGAAGTCTTATTTACTTGACTTTAATTTATCCTCGAATATAAACAACTTGACAAGTGTATGTATGATTGTTCGAAATATGTGGTGGACATGCATCATATTTTTTCGAATGACTCTGTCTTGTCATTGCTTTATCAAAATATCTAGTTTTACTATCTGTAAGCTAATTCGTAAATAAGTAAAAACCTTTCAACCTATATGATTGTCCAATTAATTGGCTAGGTATCTGAGAGTATTCTGAGTATAGTTAGGTGAAAAACGCCTCAGTACAAATAAACAAAATATCAGACTACAAATCACATGCCCACAAATTAGAGGATGTTTAATATTAGGCATTGTAACAATATTCCTCGGATTATGCATACTACAAAATTCAGGAGCGAAAAGATTCAATACAAATAACTTACTGTGAAAATACTTATAATCGATTTCATATCATTCATATTCTTAACTAGTGATATAATGATGCTCATTTCTTGAACATTTTGGTGGTGACTTTGAACAGCATTTATGTAGGGACATTCTTCTTTCGTTGATTCATCAGCTTCACTTCTAACATTCTCATCCAGCTGTCTCCGCAAATCAGATTCTGTAGAGATCATTTCAGTTTGAGATGCTTGTGATAAAATTTCGGATTGTCAATTAAATCAGTTATTGAGTGTTGAGAGCTAAAAAAACACACCATAAAACAGCCTAATTTGTTTGTTGTTTTCACCATTAAGTAATATTCCCTATGAGCAGATAATTTAATTTGTCTTCACAACTAGAAATGATTAATGCATTAATATCATACAAATGTGTCCAAAATAAAATTTATTTCTGATTGTCTTTTTGAATAAAATTTCTTGCGGATAAAATAATCTAATTACAGTGAGATTTCTGAAGAATTCAGTTGGAAATATTATTCATAACCAGATTGAATAAGCTATAATCATTCAGGTGGCAAATAAGCTTAAGATATACGTTTGTAGTGACGTCTTTAAATGAATCCTTTTGACTTCTGCCAGTCTCTTAGTTATTGTTATTTTTTAAAAAAAAATGCTACTTCAAGTCACTGAATATATGTAGTATTCAAATGGTATGGAACTTTTCGTTTTCACAATAAGATTGAAATTGCTCAATACTGAACTACCAGTGACTTTCTTTAGCGACGTAATCAGGATTTTAGTTGGAAAAAAACTTTCACGCTAATCTGTGTATCATCGATATATCCATTCCAACTTAGCCTTTAGAACAGCGGAAACTGTTTATTGAATTACGCTTTTTCAGTCAGCAATTAGCAGAAGTACGTTAGAAATAAAAACACTCCTTTTTAAATCCATTTGGTATTGTTTGCTCGAATTTTTCCAGAGATGTTTAGGGCTGCAATTGATTGGCGTTTGGAGCGAACGTTACTTAGTTCGAGCCCCGAAGTGAACATCAACTCTGGGATGCAGGTACACCTAACTGAAAAATCCCGAATAGGTTTAAACGCGCGTCCTGAATTCCATTGCTAGTCACCAACCATCTTCGCTTATAACACTCCTTTGTTGTTACTACAGGAATATACAGTTAAAGTTGTTACTTCAAAGCAAAAAATCTCTTAAATTCTTATCTAGTAAATCAACCGACGTACAAAAGTGTACCAAATAGTTCGTTTATTCTAAATGGAAATTTATAAATAAGCATCGAATTCTTAAGTAATCTTCAAAATAAATCATAATAACAACTTTGTTAGTGAACATCGGCATTATTGATATTATGTTCAGAGTGCAAACACGGAAAAACAAAGTTAGTTCGGGAGGTTAAAGTTTGGTTGCAAAGACTTCAAATTTGGGTGTCCACAGACTTATGAGCCTTAGTTTGAGAGGTGAACTTCCCGTATAAAACTCACATGATAATTGAATACTCACTTTTACTAAAATAAAGGGAAATAACATGAGTGCGAAAGGTATTGAACCGTGGACGTGACGTCAACAAATACAGCCAAAAAGTTTTACATAAGGACAAAAAAGCTGTCCAGTGAATTATGCTTTTCTATGGTAGTCTAACTATAATCACTCTATGAAATAAACTGCAAAAGCATGTTATTCTAATTTCCTAGAAATTCCGTTTCTGATTTGTCAGTAATAAGGTAGATATAAGTCTAGAAAATGCTAGTGGGAATTTATGGAAAATGTACTCTAGAATACAGTTGAAATTCATCTAAGGATTGATAGTTTAAAAGATGATGTTTTATTCCTAGAATAAATAAAAGAAAATGGTTCATTCTGAAAGAAAACAAACAGAACGGATCTTAAAAAGTACAGTAGTAACTTACAACAATGTAGCAAACAATATGTTTAAATCTTTCAAAAGTTGCAGTTTAAATACCTAAACGAAATCTGGAATATTAAAAATAAGAAAACAAATATCAACCAATAAGACTTCTCAATCACTATCCCAATAATCCTAAATATTTTGAATATAAATGAAGATTGGAATAACATTTAAATAAGAGAACGATTATTTAAGAAGATATAAATATTGTAACAATAAAAGATGAAAATATCTCTCATCAGGACGTAAAGTTATGCAACTTTCCTAAATCTAAAATTCTTCGCTAGGTGGGGGGATAAAATACAAAAGGTCTGCAGTTATCGTTCGTCATATATACAGATACATTCATACACAAATATATCTATATGGATTTCTACTTGTAAAATATAAATGGATGAGATTACGCGATGAAACACGGTTTGTACATCTTGTTTAAAATTCGAATGATGCTACTGAGTAAATAATGATTGATCACACTTTATTTTGATACCTAAAATTTTGTGATCAAGTAGAGGAACTTGACAGCAAAATCAAACTGAACTTTGAATCGGAAGTGATTGAACATTTGAAACATTTTACGGTTCACTAAGAGGTTCCATGCTAGTTAAGATTTTCAAGCCTAATTTATGTGATATGCCGAGATATTTTACAACACCTCATTCTAGATATTTGAAGCTTGTCGTTGATTGACTTATTAATTTTTCAAAGTATTTCCAATTTCCAACTATTTCAAGTCTATAAAATTTCAAGGAACAGTGAATATTGGTTGTGTTTTTCTTGAACAGTTTATAGCCAATATCAGCAAGCTCGTGATTCCGGTTGCATCATTTTCTTCAGAAAATTGATGTTCTATCACACAATCTAACTTTCAGGGTGTGTTACAAATCTACTATTAAGTGATGTGTTCATATATTTGACCAATTGTTCCTATGTTTAAATAAGACTTGATTCACAGAGTGGGATAAATGTTTATATAACCTAAGATTCTAGTGACTTGCCAGTGTAGATAAGACTGCTCTTCCAGTTGTTTTTCATTTGTACCACTTTAATGGAGGTGAACTCAGGTGGGTTTCTTGGTCAGCCATAAGAACCATACACTGATTATTTCATTCACAAATTTCCACCATTTGTCCTTCACATTCTGTATAATTCTTTCAGATCACAATCTTTTCCTATTTCTCATTCTCTTCTCTTCAACTCGATCTTCTTAGCCATCTGCTGCCAGGCTTTCTACATCTAGTTGGCGTTACATACGACTTATGTCGACAAACATAAGAAGCATACACCACACCACTACAGATTTCTATCCATTGTACTATTTCTCACCGGTTAACAACAAGTATTTTGGGTCTTCTACAAGACTTATATTCACATCACATAAGTTTTTAATGAAAAAAACACTATGTTCACCTGGCATTTTCAAATATTAATTAATTAGTTATTTGAAAATCCCCATAGAATATTCGAAAATTATGGATATTTGGAAGAAAAATTGTTTTCAATAATTTCATCATCAAGCTCTTGAAGATACCAGAGGTATTGTATTTTGACAACACTTTACCAGTAACAATTTCTATAATAGAATCACACTCACCCAGTGAAATCAAATGTCAGAAGCGAGGAGGTCGGAAGATATATTTGATAGATTATCAATATATGGAGAAGTAAATGATCTAAACTGGCTAGTGATCTCAGGAGATGTTGCGCATGCCGTTCAAACTCGTGATCCGGTGCAGATGTTTGACCGAGCGCCATCAACTAGGTGAGTCCATTAGAATTAATGTAGTCAGCATTCAACGTCGAACACATACAGAGATATTGATTTTGACGATTCATTTACTGCTACACTCTGCAGTTATAAGTCCATAATTATGATATTTTACATACGTCAAAACAAGTCATGCATTAGTGAATTTGACAATGTTATATGTTAATAATAGTGAACGTTCGCATCTGTTATGCTATAATTACTTCAAAATTGTGTTATTTGTAAATTAGAAAAGTCATTTAATAAAGATCAGAATGATTTGGAGTAAAGTATTAAGTCATAATCAGTACAATAGCAATATAACAAAATAAGAAATCATGTGAGTAAAGTGCACAGTAAGAGAATTTCATCTTGTTAATCGAGGTAATATCGTTGTGTAAATTTAATATGTAATAAGAGGTGTTATCAAGATAATTACAAGAAAAAAGAATTTATGTGAATCAGGAAAAAGATTAATGTACAGATTAAGAAAGATATAGACACAAAAGGAATTAGAAGGGTCAAGAGGTTTACAGTATCCAGTTTATGTAACCGGTGATCCAGTCGTGAACCCATGTAAACATAGAGGCTGAATATACCTCTTCATGATATATAAGTTTGGTTTACTGGAACTGATCTAGATGGCTTGAGTTATTTAGATTAGCCGATATTTAGCCCCTTGAGATAGATTCTTTGGAACCCGTGATAAAACTGAGAAAGCTTCACCTATTTTAATATGATGTTTACTATCTACCAAGTGAGAAAGAATTGGTACTGTTAATCTATTTAGTGATTCCTTTTCCCAACCCTGCTGGTAAATGCTCACGAAAATACAAGGATAAAGCCCTCTGAGTAGGGCTTATGTAATTAGCTCAACAGGAGCATTCGGATTGCTATACAAACATGGAGGAGCCCATCATTGGTAACCTATCCTTGATTTGTTGTATAAGTACCAGTTTTGTTGAGTAAATTATGAGTAACTTGGCGGCGTGAAACGTCCTTTCAAAAGTTTTTTTCGAGTCGACATATAACATTGTCAAATTCATTAATACATGACTTATTTTGACCTTTGTAAAATATCATAATTATGGACTTATCAATGTAGAACTTGATGATGAAGTTATTGAGAATAATTGTTTGTTCAAATATTCTTTTTGATTTAATCCTTTGTGTCTTAGCTGAAAATCATTTTATCTGAACAAATTAATTGGCAGACAAGAACCACCGTATTCATCATGTGAGCAAAGTGCTAGTGAATAGTTGTTCGTGAACGTTCACCTCCATCCAAAGCACATTATAATACACCTGCGTCTGCAGAATATCTAACATTAACACTTAGAACTTACATACTACAGCCATTTAGTACAAGCTGGTGGATTCTAATATGTAATTTTTTAAAATCCCAACAATACTTTGAGACATTTATTACTGTGAAGCTGAATAATAGATTATCTCGTGTCGATAGTGATAAACATTTATTGTTTATAATTGTTAACTTACACGAGAATTAGGTGTATAGTTTCTTCATAAATGATCGTTAATGCCCTTATCTACTGT